GGAAACTAAAAGAATCATGACAACCTGTGATCTCACGTTGGGTCCTAGAACAGGGAAACAAATACTTATGAAGGACACCTTTGGTGACATGGACAACATCAGACTAAGGATAGTAAGTCAGACAACGGTCTTGCATTGAGTTAAATATTCTGATTTTGATCCTTGTAGGGTGTGGGGCGAGAGCATGGCTTGCAGTCTGGAAATACAGAAGGGAGGATGTAAGGAAGAGGGAGCAGACACAAAACTGGAATCCAGAAAACAAAGAACAGCAATAGGAATAGGGGGAAGGGGCAACTTTTTTGTCTTACTCTTAAAAACCCTTCCATAAGTTTGAAATTAAATTAAAATGAAAAGTAACCAGAACACTGCGCCTGGACTGCCTTTACCCCATGAGGCCATTCGGTCAATCCATCATGGCCACCTAAGCCAGACCCTGGGAAGTCAAGGACACACTGTATGTGCAGGGAACAGATGCGGAAGAGCAGCCGTGTGAACATGCAGCCCAGCACCTTCCCAGGGCGCCCAGAGGAAGAGAGGACACCGTAGCCATGTGATTATGTTAGCGGGAAGGACTGTGTGTCTGAGTTAGCCTCTTCCTTTGAGCTGATTCCCATAGAGAGTGATGACTACTTTTTTTTTTTAATTTTTTTTAAATTTATTTCTAGGAGAGAGAGAGAGAGATAGCATGAGCAGGGGAGGGTCAGAGAGAGAGGGAGTCACAGACTGAAACAGGCTCCAGGCTCTGAGCTGGCAGTCAGCACAGAGCCCGACGCGGGGCTCGAACCCACGAACCGCGAGATCATGACCTAAGCGAAAGTCGGACGCTTAACCGACTAAGCCACCCAGGCGCCCCGACTGATGACTACTTTTGACGCCTACACGCATGTGGCTTGACAAGACGGTCATTATCACTTCCTAAGGACCAAGTTCCTCCTCCCGTGTGCCTCACTGACTTTGGTTCTTAGATACTCATTTTTAAGACCCAGAACTCGTTTTCACACGTTTCAAACACCAAATAGAATCTAGTTTTCTGATAAACTGCAGACTAATCTTTTCTCAGACAAATTTAACTTACATCCATTCCAGGGACTTGTGTCATGTAATTTCAATGATCGAAGGCAACGGTTTAATAGCTGGTTGTGTTAAATGATACTTTCTAAAAACCAAAGGGGTAAATCATGACTCTTATAAATACAAAATAAACATACATCCAAGATTTTATTTAGCACAAGGGAGCCAGTAAAATGTTACAAGTGGCTAAAAGGAGATTTCAAAACACACACACACATTTACAGGTCATCAGGAATGCTAACATAAATGTATAAAATAGATGCAAAGCTGCTCAATGTCTACATGACAATCTTCAATTGCATTTCTAAAGACAAATTTACATTTCTAAGGATACAAATATTTGCATTACTGTAAAAACTGTACAACTCGCAGCGTTACAAAATAGCTGAATCAAAGACAGAGGTAACTGACAATGCGTTAGACATGACACCCCATAATCTTTTTTACCCACTTCAAAGTCTTTCTCGATTTTTCACGACAGCTTCTCTTGGGAACACTCAGCATTCTGAAATCGTCATTCCACGAACCCAGTCCTAGATCAGCGCTCGCCTCGTCCTGTAGAAGTCTTTGCTCAAAAGAGGTAAAAACAGTCTTTGGAACCCAAACACCAAACGCCTTATTCTGGAAACCTGTTTACCTCAACAGGCAAAGACAGTTTTTCTAATTTTTATCTGTTTATGTTTACTTAGAGTATTATTAAAGGTGGTATTGCTAGTTTATTACTAAAGACATTGTAAGAATTTCATTTCACTTTGATTCACTGAAGTCAAACCCTACTTTCAGTAAACAATTGAAGCACCCCAAAATACAACAGCAAGATTAAATAATAGAGACGAGTGATTTGCTCCAATGTAACTCAGGGGACAATGTCATTCTATCAGCTTTACTGGGTAGGAGTTGGAGCCCTGGCCCTAGACCCTGACCCATCCTAGTTCCTTGTAGCCAGTAGTGATTGTGGTTCAATCTCCTCCTTGCCAAGACTCCGCTTCGTCATCTGTCAAGTGGGTGAAAGCTCAGGACTGCGTCATGGAGGCGCTATGAGCAATGAAACAGTCCATACGCATGTGTGGTGATAGGTCCTAAAGTTAATATTATTACTGAGTGATATGTGAAGCTGGCAGGGCCTCGGAGGGCCCGACCCCAAGCCCCCCTCTGCACTCTGCACCTGTGAGTAGGGCACCACCCGGCAAAATCCTCTTCATCCAGTAGACCAGGCAAGATGGCTGCTTCTGCCTCAGTAACAGGTACCAGCTCCCTGCCAGCCTGCAGGATCATTCAGACCAGCCCATCTCACCCTCCCGTGAGAACTGGGGGTACCCCACTCGCTTGTCCCCAAAAAGACGCCCCCCTCCCTCCGCCTGCTGGCTCGCTCTGCTCCTGAGTGTACGTCCTGTGTGGCCCTGAGTGCTGTGTGCGCTGCTGTCCCCTGCTCTGGCTGTGAGTGTGCGTGACCAAAGCTGCTGTCAATCACATGTATCTGGTGCCCTCTGTGTGGCCATCCCCATCACCCTAGGGCAAGAATCCCTCCCTCACCAACGGGGTGAAGAGGAGATGATTAAAACAGCATGGCCCATGACAGGTGCTCAACAAATGATCACTTTTATTGTATCTAGAAATGGCATCGTCCCTGGTGCTGTGCAATGTAGATTTTAGCCTAGCGTGCAGCTCATTAGCAGTAAATACATTCACTTTGAAATAACAGTGGGATGACATTTTAATATTTTAATCTTAGCTCCAGCTGATTGCTGCAAAACACTCTGAGTTTTCTGAGACGCAGGAAGTCTGGATTTCATGTGCAATCTTCTGATATTTAAATTTTGACAGCAAACTTTAAAAAATGAATATAATCCCCTCTGGGGCAAACAAAGCATGCTTGGGGGCCTTTGAGGGCCTGGAAATTTTCTGTTAGGGGAGTCAAACCTCAGATGCTCAGGTGCCGTGCCGTAGGGCAAATACCAATTAAAAAGACGTTTTAGCTGGTCCTGGTGCCAAAGAGAGAAGAAGAACGTTCTCCCTCCCTTTTCTGAGAAAACTTACTTTTGAAAACTTGTAATTATAGATTCTTGCTCTTCGCTTTTGAGATGTATGTAAATCCTCCTAACGCCTAAACAAGCTTCTTGCTAAATGACAACCCAAAGAAGTATTTCTCAGGGACCCGGGAGCCATCTGTAAAATGTAACCCCCAAGGGCAATCATGTCTCATCGCCCCGTCCCAGAGAGAAGATAGGAGACTGACTGAACTTCTTGGCTCAAAGTGTTAAAACCGTCTCTTTTCATGAAGGCACGAGAAGTTTAGCTTTCCTCTGCGTAAAGGCAGCTGGCTAACAACACAGACGGCCGCCACTCCGACTGCCGGGTGTGTGTGGGATGAGCTGCCTGTGGCCGACTGTGCTGTCCAGTTCTCGTCTTCCAGGGCTTATCCTTGACCCTGAGATTATGCACGTAGTAAGATCGTAGCTGTCCTACTCTCTGAAAGGGTGAAACTTCCTTCTGTCTTGGCAACCTTTAGCAGTCTGTCCATGGTGCATAGCTCAGTGCTTACTCAGTAATAAGGATACTTTCTTTTTCTTCTGCTTTGTGAGAGGTTTTCTCTGCCAGGAAGAAGCTCTGCTTCTCATTATTTCTCCCACAGTGCCTCTCCCCTGCCTAATTTCCAATGCCCAGGCAACCAGGCTTTGCCAAGTAAAGCCAGACCCTTAGGGTGGTCTCTGTGGCTTGACGGCAGGTTCTCCTTAGCGATGGCTGTAAGGTAGCGCATCTCGCTGAGTGCCTTTTGCATTGCTTGCTCTCTTTCTGGTTTTCAGTCTCCGAGCTGTTCCCTAAGCTGGTTGTGGCTGTGGACAAAGCAGTGAGGGGGACACCCGCTGCTCTTCTGACCTGAAATGGGCCACACGTTCCGTCTCAGACAGAACCCATCCTCACCAGCACGTCCCTCCTGCAGAGCATGGCCTCCTCGCTTCCTGAAGCCCTCCTCCACCAGGCTGTGAGGTCTCTTCTGCGAACCACTCCCTCCTAGATGGGCCGTTCTCCTTCCCTCTCCTCTTTGTTGATCTGTCCCTCTTCCCTGTTGCTGACACCTGGCCTCCAAATTTTCAAGATCTTTTCCTCTCTGGATGGCTTTATGCTGAAAAGCTCGAAGAACTCTCCTTTTAAATATGTCAGCCTGGATCATAAACGGGTTCGAGCTAAGAACTAACTTCACACAACTGCATGTCCCAAGTTCATCAGCGAGCCTCCAATCTGTCCTCCACAACGGGGAGACCAGTAGCTTTACAGGGCCCTAGGTGTATATATATATATATGTACATATATATCACATCTTCTTTATCCATTGATCAACAACATAAAAGCCACAGACGAAAGACCCACAGCCATTATCATCCTCAACGGGGAAACACTGAGAGCCTTTCCCCCATGGTCAGGAACAAGACAAAGATGTCCACTGTCACCATTACTATTTAACATGGTACTGGAAGTCTTAGCCTCAGCAATCAGACAACAAAAAGAAATAAAAGGCATCCGGATCATCAAGGAAGTGTTCAAACTTTCACTATTTGCAGACAACGTGATACTCTATGTAGAAAACCTAAAAGACTCCACCAAAAAATTGCTACAACTAATACATGAATTCAGAAATCTTCTGTGTATTCATCCATCATTCTACTGATGAAATAATGCTTCCCCCCATCTCTTTTCTTGTTTCTGTTTAATACATCAGCTGGCTACCTCTACAGCTGTATGCAGGTTTCGGTGAGTAAGATCTCACAGAGAATGTGCGGACTCCATGCTGCCCTTTAAAACAGAACATCATTTGTTATATGAAGTCATTAGTTACCACAGTGGAGCCCACGTGATTCACAGAGCACTGTCTTCTAGCTTTGTGAGTTCTCCAAGGAGGATACGAGCAAAGCCACAATGAAGAAAGGATCAGCCTTTAGGTCTCACTCTGACAAGGGGCAAAACCGAGCCGTCCAGGCAGAGGGGGTCTGAAGCTGGGGGCTTGTCTGTTTGCTCAGCTAATCTCAGCACCACGTCAGACATGCTAAAGCCGATGGTCTGAACCAGAGGCGAATACTCAGAGTTCAAGGCCATACACTGTTGTCCTACCCTCAGTTCATGGCTCTGCTCTAAGCTCTGCTAGGCAGTGTAATGGAGATTCTTCCCTAATGGAGGTTCATGGACGCACAGCACAAAAACGTAAGATTAAGTAGTAGATTTCTTGTTCTGTCTCTCTCTCTCTGTCTCTCTCAGAAATAAAAAAAAAAAAATTTTAAAGTTCTTACTTCATTATTAATTATCTATCAGATAAGGGACCCATCAAGATCTATTTATTACAAGTGCTACATAGAAATATATGGATAACTACATTTTGTTACCTATCCATTTAACCAAAACATCTCTGTGGAGAGCATTAGAATAAAATATTATGTGAGTGTAGTACTTAAAATATATGAAAGAAATACTACAGAACATAGTGAACATTATTTAATATCTTATAGGTAAGGTACAAATTATTTGAAAAACTACACATACAGTCAGAGTTATGTAATGGCTTTTTAAGGTGTAGTCAGAATTGGAAGAGATTGTGTGAAACAGCTGATTTTTAACTAGAGAGGATTTTTTTCCTCACAAAGGAGGTTGTTCCCTTAAAACGAAACTACATAAAATTCTCACTGAATAAACGGATCAGGGTAAATAAATCAAAATCAAATTTAGGTCTATTTGATACAGATAGTAGAAGTAACTGTGTTAATAAATCACCTTTCTTCAGTTATCTCTCTATCCCTAAAGTCATGGCATTTTCTAGAATAACAATGGAAAGTTTTACCTGATGCTTAGGAACATAATGAGTTTTTTTTTTTTAAATAGTGGGTAATATCACAGCAGTAATAATTAACTAACACATACCAAGCAAGGTTATTAATCACCTCATCAACTTCAGTCCAATATTATCTGCCATTATAGCAGAATGATAAATGAAAATAATTGAACGATGTCAACACATCAAGAGACGTTGAGCCCAAACAGCATTCGCAAACCTGGAACTTTTATCTATACCTCTGAAAACAGCCGTTCAGGAGTCTGGGAGTCTGAAAGTCAGTCCATTGATCTCAGTGGAAGAAATCAGTCAGGTGAGTAACAACAACCTATACTGCAGGCTTTTCGAAACATCTTCATTTTTTGCATGAATGCATTTTTCTATTATTTTCTCCAGTCTCCATCTCGGACAAAGCTCTGAAAACTACATTTAACATTTCTCATTTCTAAGGCTGACTTCACTTAATTCTTACCTCTTACCAAAGACGGTCTTTGAGCACAGAGACTCTCCCTCAGGAAGGCGATACTGAGGTGGGCGGCCTCCGGGATGGCCTCCAAGGATTCTGCCGCCCGGCGTTCCCGTCCCTTGTAACCCCCTCGCCTCTGACAGAGAGAAAATGGCCAATGTGAACAGGTAGATGCTGTGAGTTTGGATGAGCCCAAACCTGGGAGCAACATTCCCTGGGGCGGGGCCTTGTTGCAGGGCTGGTTGGAGTGCCCGTGCGGGGACACGGCTGTCCCCAGCTTCCCCAGACTCGGGGGACTTCTGTAGTGCGCATGTGTGTGTCCTCAGCTCTTTCCCTGCCAGTCTCAGATTGGTTTCTTTGGGTTCGTTTTATCGCTTGCAAAATTGTATCTTCTCTTTTTTACTATAGTCTTGTGAGTATGTGTCTTTCTTAAAATCCATTTGTTGTCCTTTTAAAAAAGATTGGGTGAGGGGCGCCTGGGTGACTCAATTGGTTAAGCATCTGATTTCGGGTCAGGTGATGATCTCATAGTTCGTGGGATCAAGCCCCGGGTCGGGCTCCCTGTTGATAGCTTAGAGCCTGGAGCCAGCTTCGGATTCTGTGCCTCCCTCTCTCTCTGCCTTTCTCCCACTTGTGCTCTGTTTCTCTTTCTCTCAAAAATAAATAAACATTATAAAAGGTTTAAAAAGATTTGGTGAGAGAATTAACATTACAACCCACTGAATTGAACTGGAAGCCCTTGATGTTTCTTTTTCTCTCCCTTCATTCCCCCCGATGTATATACCGAGGAACTTGGACATACACCTTCTATACAACCCCAATAGAGACCAGCTTTCAATTTAAATAATTATTTAAATAACAAATAATAAATAATCCAACGAAATAGAATGGTCTTTGTTTATCTTATCTTAGTGTGGTAAGCCTCAAAGTCTTTCAAAATTGTGCATAATCATTGGAAATTCTTGCATCAGTTTTACTTGGGTACTAGTTCTAGTATTTTATAAATACGAGCCAAATTCATAGAAAGCGGGAAAAGCCTGAATAGCATGGGTTTAATTAAGACAAAATGGTACTTTCTCTGTACTTCTTCCAAGGGAATGGAGCCACAGCAAAGTTTCCAACATGGCAGACACTGTCCCTGTAGGAACAACATCAAATTTCTGTACAGGCTTGTGAATGGCCCTCTTCCCGGAGAGGGCCACACTATTTGCCTTGTCCAATGCCCCATTTTCAGTCCTGATTTTTTGGGTTATCTGAACACTTTGAACTACTAGATACTCTCTGCTCCTTGGGGTTTTGAGACTCCTCTCCCTGGCTCTGATCTTTCTCCTGACTCTGTAATTCAGTCTCTAGGATGGCATAAATCAAATAAAGTCAGGATACAATTGCAATACCATTCTTAATATTTGCATTTTTTAAATGTGTTTTTAATTTTAAATGTGATTTCTTTCCTCTTAATTTATCCCTGGATTAAAAGAGCTGACTTTTCATTTTCTGATATGTAATAAATATATTAGCCTGATTCTGCCCATATGTTTATTTGTTGTTTGTATCTACTTAATTCCAAAAGAGATCTAGGGTGGTTTTACAATAAAAGGCACAAATATGACAAAGCCAATTAAAAATGATTGAAGTAAAAAAATAAAAGTAAAAATGACTCAGAAATAGAAGTCTATTAATAAAAAAAAGAGAGGGCATAAGTATAATTGATATGCTAAGAAGGGAGAGAAAATGGAATCATGTTAAATATTTACGCCACACAATGCAGAGAAAGAATGGAAGGCAAAACCACGAACAAAGAACAAGGACAGCAAATAGAAAATAGTAGAAAATACGGTAGATATTAATCCAACTGTATCAATAATCCCAAGGCACAGACTGTCAGTAGATCAGAACCCAAGACCCAATTATATGTTGTCTATAAAGGACCCACTTTAAATATGAAGACACATATAGATTAAGCACAAAGAGATGAAGATAAATAGACCTTGCTAACACTAATCAAAAGAGAACAGAAGTAGCTGTATTAATTTCAGAGTTATCAGGAACAAAGGAAAGCACCGGGGTGCCTGGCTGACTCAGTCGTTAAAGCACGAGACACTTGATTTCGAGACTGTGAGTTTGAGCCCTGTGTTGGGTGTAGAAAGTATAAAGAAATCAACTGTAAAAAAAAAGAAAGAAAAGCATCGCATAATGACAAAGTGTGTTTTACAGCATTTAAATATGTGAGGCAGAAACTGATGGAACAAAAGGAGAATAAGATAAAATAAGTGGATTTACTGGAGTTGGAGACACCGACACTTGTCTGTTAGAAGTGGATCTGTCAGTAAATTAGTAATGATGTAATTGAAATCAACAACATCATCGATCAGCTGGACATATCAGACACCTATGAACCACTTCATCTAACAGCACCAAAACACACCCCCTTCTCAAGCTCACGTGGAACAGTCACCAAGACAGACCACATTCTGGGCCATAAAACACACCTTAACAAAATTCTTAAAAAATGGAAATCATACAATGTCTATTCTCAGATCATAATGAAATTAGGCTAGAAATCAATAACAGAAAGGTAGCTGGAAAAGCCTAGAATACCTGAAGATTCAACAACACACATCTAAATAACACATGGGCCAAAGAAGACATCTTAAGAGAAAATTTTAAAATATTTTGAGGGAAGGAAAAATGAAAACACAACTTATAAAAGTTTACAGTGTCGACAAAAGCAGTGCTTCAAAGGAAATTTATAGCATTCCATGAGTATGTCAAAGAAGAAAGATCTAAGATCTAAAGATCGAAATCTGGATAGATCTATATTTAGATCTAATATCTAAAAATCAGTAATCTAAGTTTTCACCGTAATCAACTAGATAAAGAAGAGTAAGTTAAATCAAAGTAGGGAAGAGAAAAAGGAATAATAAAAATTAGAACAAGAATCAATGAAAGTGAGAGCAAGAAATCAACAGGAAATCAACAAAATCAAAAGTTGATTCTTTGAAAAGATCAATAAAACGTATAAGCCTCCATCCAGGCTAAGAAAAAGTAATATAGTCAAAATTCTAAAAAAGAAGACTTGAATGATTAAGTCTGTAATTCAGAACTCCACCACTAATTCTATCAAAATATTGTAACTATTAAGAATTACACATTTCCAGGGCTCCTGGGTGGCTCAGTTGGTTAAGCATCTGACTTGATTTCGGCTCAGGTCTTGATCTTCCAGTTGTGAGACTGAGCCCCATGGTGGGTTCTGCACTAACAGCACAGAGCCTGCTTGGGATTCTCAATCTCTCTCTCTCTCTCTGTCCCTCTCCTGCTCATGCTCTCTCTCAAAAATAAATAAACTTTTAAAAAGTTATTCTGGTGATTTGGGCTCTTAAGAAAAAAAAGAACTATGCGTTTCCATTCCACTTTATTTTAATAAATGATAATTTATTAACTATAACTTAATAATAAATGATGATTTATTATGGAAAAAAGTATTTTACCAAAAGCTTAGATTGGGTTATAAATAGTACATTTCAGAATAAAATATGGCTCAGAAATTTCTTCTGAAAGAAAAAAATCCTATGGGGCACTATCTCTCTGGTACAGAGTCCTAATTTTTTTTTTAGAAAACTTAAAGCTTTTGATGTTTAATCAGTGACATCGAATTGTGTTCATGTTTCTCTTGATTGTCTAACTTCATGTAAATAAACCTTTGTGTTTTCATCATTTATCTGACTCGGTCTTCTGTGTTCCATTTTGCAATAAACTGTCTTTAGATGAATTTTTGAGGTTGTGAACCTCAAATTTTATTAAGTGAAGTGATTTTAGAAAGCATTGTATTTTTCAACATAATTCATCAGGCATTAAAAACTGGATTTAATCATAACTAAATATTCATCCAGAAAGTAATTAGTCCTTTGTGAACTTTTCTTTAAACTACACGTCGTTAATTTCCTAGTTTGGGTAGGATCTGTGAATGAGTGATTTATAGTTCCTTCAGTTTGCCAAGTTAAAAGTGTTTTACTATTTTCTTTTTCTTTGCATGGCAGTCAGAGTTATTTATCACTCTCACACAAAATATAAAGTTGAGTTTTCTTTTCTTTTGCTTTCGGCATCTCTTTCGCTTTTATTTCCCTAAACTTTGCTTTTCTTTGCATGAAAACATATGGTTTCAGATGCTGATATTCTCCTGATCTTCTTCATTATGTCTTGATTTAGCTTCTGGGCATTGGGAATTTTATGTACTGTGCGTATCTCTTAAATTCCTTACAAATGACTTAATATGTAATCTGTTTTGATAAGTAACTTCTAGGCCTGATTTTTTTAAGTTAATAAATTCAGGCAAATGGTTATCCTTGTCTTCTGGATCTCAAATAAACCCTAGCATTCTGTAAATACAGGGGCACAAGGGGGCTCCTGGATGGCTCAGTGGGTTAAGCACCTGACTTCAGCTCAGGTCATGATCTTGCAGTTCGTGGGTTTGAGCCCCACATCAGGCTCTGTGCTGACAGCTTGGAGCCTGGAGCCTGCTTTGGATTCTGCATCTCCCTCTCTGCCCCTCCCCTGCGCTCTCTCTCTCTCTCACTCTCTCTCTCAAAAATAAATTAACATTAAATTTTTTTTTTAAATACAGGGGCGGAAGAATAGAACAGGGTGTGTGTTTTACATGTAGGTTCCTGGGCGCTGTGCCCTGGAGACTGTCATTCGGAAGCTGAGGCTGTGAATCCTCCCTGGAACTGACTGGCATGCAGATTTCATAGAAGGGAAAGCTTGGAGCCTCATGCAGGTTTGTCCTCTCTTGCAGAATGGACTCACCCTTTTCTGCTGGATGACAGGGGGCTGACACTTCAACACCAGCAGTGTCTCCTTGAGGCTGGCTTCCAACTTGCACAAGAAGGCTCCTCCAACCGCCCTTGGCTCAACCGAGCCCGTGGAGTGAGGCTCTGCTCTCAGCCTGGTGTGTTCCCTGAGGCTCTATCTGCTCTGACCCCTAAACCTGTCTCAGTGGAGTGGCTACACTGGCCAGGGCTTTTTCAGTCTCGGCTTGGCTTCATGGCTCCTTCTAACTGCACCTTGACTTGGATTTTCCTAGATCACTGATTAGCCAAACATTCACTAGGTTCAGCCAGTTTTTAGTCTCCGTCCATGTTATTTGTAAGCTCTTGGTTTCCTCTAATTTTCTTTTTTTTTCTTAAAATTTTTAATGTTTATTTATTTTTGAATGTGAGAGAGACAGAGCATGAGCGAGGGAGAAGCAGAGAGAGACGGAGATGGAGAATCCAAAGCAGGCTCCAGGCTCTGAGCTGTTGGCACAGAGCCTGACATGGGGCTCAAACTCACAAGCCATGAGATCATGACCTGGGAAGAAGTGTGACCCCCACCCAGGGGCCCAATTTCCTCTGATTTTCTAAAACGTATATGAAAAGTTTGGCTATGTCTTGTCACCTCTGCATAGAGTTGTCATTCATGCAAAGGGCCTCTCTATAACCATCTGGCTGTTCACTGTCAGCACACATCCCTCAGCAGCTGTTAAGTCAGAAATCTACTTATGCACACGCCATACCAAAGCCCATCCATACTAAGGGAAGAAGCATGAGGAACCAGAGGAATGCGGTTAAGTCAATGAAAGATGGACTCCATTACACACCATCTGTGTCACAGACCTGGCTGCCATTCTTCTGCGCTCCTCTATTGATTTGCAGACATTAATATTGTTTGACAATTGCCTAGCGTCTGAAATAAATCATTGCCTCATTTTTCACCTGAGTGTTGCCGTGAACATATTTGTACATGTATCAAGCATCTAAAAGGTGACCATCTTCACTAAACATCTGCTTGGGAAGCATAGAATCAATGGTTGTAAAGATAAAATAACTCTTGTGTCGTTTCAATGAAACTCTATCGGTGAAGACACCTCGATGACTTCTCCCCCACAATCGGCCCTACAGCCCTGCAGGGGCAAAGGGGAGACGTGGGCGTCCAAAGCGCAAGGTGACAATCCACGGAAATCGGGTTCCCACAGGCTCCCCTTCCCAAGCCATGTGATTCCTTGACCTAAATATTCGCAGCTGAGATTAAACTGTTAGAAATGACTCCCCAGAGAGCAGTCACCTCACCTCTGAAAAGGAAGTTCCCTCTAGAGGACTCTTCAAATGCTGGTATGTCACAAGAGGAAAACGAGATGAGATGAGATGAGATGAGATGAGATGAGATGAGATGAGATGAGATGAGATGAGATGAGATATCATGGTGGTTAGGAGGTTCCCACCTTGCAATGTAGGCTCCAGGGGAAATGCCACACTGGGCACTTAATATGAAACTCTGAGTCCTCTGTTTCTTCGATCCCGGGGTCCTCTGAGGCGCCATACCCACGGCTCCCACCTCAGAGTTAACTCTGGGCGCATCCCTTCTCATCCAGACTGCCTGCGTCCTACTGATTGGATTCCTCACATCCACTGAGCACCTTTTTATTTTCTCCACACCCCAAATTTCGTCTGGATGTTGACAGATGATGCCACCCACATTCACTGTGAGAAAACGAAATGTTTGTTATCATAATGATGCTTTCTCGAGAGGGAAAGGCGACGGCACCCGAGCAGGAATGGAAAGGGCTTGAGAAAACGAGGTGAGGACAATGGCCTGTGGCTCTAATAGGGGCTAGGGTCTGTGGCTTGGGCGCAGATTTTTAGGTGTGGTTTAAACTTCCCATCGACACATAGGAGGGAGCCCCAGGGCTTCCTTCTTTTTAGTTTGTTTTTCTTTTTCCTTTTTTTAATGTTTATTTATTTTTGAGAGACAAAAAGAGAGCATGAGTAGGGGAGGAGCAGAGAGAGAGGGAGACAGATCCGAAATGGGCTCTGTGCTGACTGCAGAGAGCCTGATGCAAGGGCTCCAACCCATGAACTGTGAGATTATGACCTGAGTCAAGTTGAACTCTTAACTAACTAAGCCCCCCAGGCACCCCAGCACTGGGACTTTCTAGAAGCTTGTCCAGAAGGTGGCAGAGGGGAAGAGGAACAGTGAGGCGTGAACATGATCAGTAGTCGAACATCAAAAACTGAAGTCTAGCTTTTTACTACATTTTTTTCCAGTTTCTTGGGAGGGAAGCTTAGGTTGTGGGTTTGAGATTTTTCTTGTTTCCTGATATAAGCATGTACATGCATACGTTTTTCTCTAAGTTCTGCAGAAACTGCATTGTAAATTACAGTATATTTTAATTTTTGTTCAGTTCAAAATATTTTCCAAATTTTCCTGTAAGTTTTTTTAAATGTATTTATTTGCTTTTGAAAGAGAGAGTAAGCACAGGAGAGGGAGAGAGAAAATCTCAAGCAGGCTGCACACTGTCAGCACGGAGCCCAGTTTGAGGCTCCAACTCACAAACCAGGAGATCATGACCTAAGCGGAAGTCAGACGCTTAACCAACTGAGCCACCCAGGCCCCCCATCTCTTGTGAATTTTTTTGACCCAATGGTTATGTAGAAGTGAATTCTTTCACTTCCACATATGTTTAGATTTACCAAATTTCTTTTTGCTGCCAATTTCCAATTTTATTACAGCCAGAGAACATTCTGATATTTATTTTCTGTGTCAACCCTGTCTTCTGAGCCTCTGTTTTTCTGCTCGCTGCCACCTTTTGTAATACATTTATTTCACTGCAGCATTTTATTTTACGTTTTATTTTTAATGTTTTTATTTATTTATTTATTTCTGAGAGAGAGAGACAGACAGCGTGAGCAGGGGAGGGTCAGAGAGAGGGGGAGACACAGAATCCAAAGCAGGCTCCAGGCTCCGAGCTGTCAGCACAGAGCCTGATGGGGGGCTCAAACCCACGAACCATGAGATCATGACCTGAGCTGAAGTCAGATGCTTAACCAACTGAGCCACCCAGGTGCCTCACTGCAGCATTTTAAAGACTATGTTGATTCCTAACTATATTTTTGAGGTTTTTTTTTTTAACGGTTGATGAGGGATTACAATATTTCCTAATTTTGCAAGAACGTCATTCTGATAAAATATAAACTTTTCTCTAGTATAGATCCATGTGCAAACCTAGCTCTGTGCTATTATTGGCATATATATTTGACTTTTGTGTAAGTCCAATAATATAGTGTTATAATTATCACTTATACAATCTCATGCTTTTTAGAGTAGCTAAGAAAAAAAATAAGAAAAAAATCACTTCTAGAATATTTCATATTAACCCACATATTCACCATTTTCATGGCTCTCTATGTCTTCCTATGGACTCAAATTGCCATCTGATGTAAAAATTTTTCCCAGACAAAAAGTCTTCATTTTAGTACTTCTGGTATGTCAATTCCACCAGCAATAAATCCTTTCATCCTTTGATGATCTGGAAATACCTTTATTTCACTTTTGGTTATGAAGGAATGCTTTCCCAGAAACAGAATTCCCAGTGCTCTGTCCGGCTCATCCCCCAGCAGTTTGAATCTGCCATTCCAATGTCATCCACCTTCTAGCATCTCTGGTTAGAAATCAGCCGTTAATCCTATCGATGCTTTTCTGTGTGTGAGCAGCCATTTCTTTTTCTTGCTGCTTCCACAATTTTCTCTATATCTTTGTATCTTTTGACCATGATGTGCCTGCATGTGGATCTCTTTGTATTTATCTCTTCAGGGTTTTTTGACCTTCATGGTAAGTTGTTGGCCATTATATCTTGAAATATGTTTTCTGGTTTTTATTTCCTCTCTTCTCCCCTTTGAGGTTTCTATTACAAGTTGGTGCACTCAGTGGTTTCCCACAGCTTTCTCCTGTTTAGATTTATTTTATCATTTTCCTATGTTCTGCAGCTATGGTCATTGCTATTTATCTATATGCTAGTTCCCTGCTTTTCCTTTCACCATCTTGACTTGACGCTGAATCCCATAGGTGATTTTTTTTTCATTCCAGTTATTATAAATGATCACTTAGATCATTTTTATAAAAAATAAATTCTATCTCTTTTAGAATCTCTATTGGTTTATTCAAATAGAGATTTTTCTCACATTATAATTCCTTAAACTCAGTTTATTTTACTTGTTTGAACATATTAGTAATAGCTGCTTTGAAGTCCTAAGTATAACATGTGGGAATATATGAACTGATCTTTTTCCCATTAATTTTGACTGTGGGATATGGTTCCTTCTTTCTTTTCACTTTTTTAACCAGACATAATGTAAAGTGGAAGACATTAGAATGGCATATTCAAAGTGCTAAGGAATGAACCACCAAGAGTTCTATTTCCAGAAAAATGTTCCTTCATAACCCATAGTGAAAAAAAGACATGTCCAGATCATCAAAGGGTGAAAGGATTTATTGCTAATGGAATTGACATACCAGAAATATGAAAAAGAAGTCTTTTCGTCTGGGAAAAAGTTTTATATCAGTTGGCAACTTGAGCCTATAGGAAGAAATAGAGAGCCATGTAAATGGTGAATATGTGGGTTAATACGAAATATTCTAGAAGTGATTTTTCTTATTTCTTCTCTTAACTACTTTAAAAAGCATGAGATTGTGTGCTTATAACACTACATTATTGGAGATTGTGTAATTATAACACTACATCATTGGACTTACACAAAAGTCGAATATGTATGCCTATAATAGCACAGAGCTAGGTTTGTAAATGGATCTTTACAGCAATTCCACTGTTCAGAATTAATTGATGTATTGTATTTTGGAATTGGGCAGACAAATAAAATAATGTCCTTTTCTTTGCTATTCTCTACTTTTCAAACTTTA